AGACTCTCGCACGCCTAGACTCTCGTACGCCCAGCTTCCCGTACGTCCACCATCTCGTACGTCCAGCCTCTCGTACGCCCAGACTCTCGTACGCCCAGACTCTCGTACGCACAGACTCTCGCACGTCCAGACTCTCGTACGCATCCGAATACCGATGACGTAGATGGTTGTCCTAGAGATACGCTTGCTCGAAATCGACGTGTCTTCCGGCCGAGAGAGCCCATCGACGACTGATTGCGAGCATTTCCCAGACGCTCAGACACGTCCCCAGGGGTTCTGATCGATAGTCGCCTGGTTGCTGCTCGTCTGGTTGCCTTACCCAGAGCACCATCGCCATCATCAGCGTCAATTGGAGCGCCGCGTTTATAAGAGCATGTCCATCAGCAGCGACTGCCACAGTACCCACAGAGGCAGGAGAGCTCAAGCACGAACCCTCCTCACATATCCAAGTCACGGTAGTAGTAGTAAACTCGCCCCCCATCCTCGCCAACAACCGGTTTTGTGATTGAACACCATGCCAATGGGGTTTCTGAGAATACAAGACAGGAAACGGCAAGCGTGCGTGGGTGGCTGCTGGCTGGAGATGACGGGGATCGTAGAACGAAGAGTCTCGTCTCGGAGGCTACAGCGATTTGAGGACCTCGACGCTTCTTCCCCTTCTTCGATACCGGGATTTTCCTTTCCTTGCCAGATCAGAATTCAGCGTGTGGAGTGGATGTGGGCGTTTACCCCCTTACCGACATCATGCTGCTTCTGGCTCAGCTTCACTCCAAAATGGTGCCAGTCTCTTTGTCGTCGGCCAGGGCCCCCCTTGACTCCGTGCTGCTTCTCGGTGTCTTTGAGGAGGGCTCAGGCGGCGGTGAGGTCGACGGCGTGGAGCATGAGGATAGAGCCGCGGAGGTTCAACGCTGGGACAGGAACCCATTCCTGGAAAGCTGTCAATAGTCTCTTTGTCGTTGGCCAGGGCGTTTCCCCCCTCCCCAGTTAGCTCCGTAAGCTCCTTCTCGGTGTCTTTGGCGTGGTGGCCCTTCGCCGCGGAGACTGTGGTCGTAACCAAGTCCTGACGAGCGCGCACTTTGCGACAACCCTCAAGGCCGGTGGACTGCCGTCTCTTCGGTGGGTGACGCGTGGAAATGTGCCGCCTCGTATCAGATACTTCCGGAGCCCATCAATTGTGGTAGTGACTTTGACCATGATGGCGACTCGGTTCTATTCGCGCTCTTATCGATATGCTCCTTTGTAATCACGTCCTCCTGCCACGCAGAGAGCCTCCCATGCCGCCGCCGCCGCCTCTGGACGGGCGGTGCGCTGCTGCTGCTGAGGGAGGGAGCTCTCCGACAATCGTAGGTCCGCGCCGTTGCGCAGTCATTGGAGGAGTATTGGGTCGAATCTCCAGAATCAACAGCATGTAAGTTTTGACACCCCATTGCAGGCCTGTGCGTGCGAGTCCCCTGACGATTGTGTCGGCCATGTATACCGCGAGAGTGCGTGCAGTTTGTAATCGTAGCGAGGTGGTTGAGATTTATGCCGCGTTTGTGTAGACGACGAAGCGGAGAGGCGTGAGCTGAGCTGTACTTGTGGGAGCGCTTCTCGAGCAAGTCGATTATCGATGGCCTCCGGTATAGTCATCGTCCCAGCCTCGCGCAGCCTTTGATCGCATGATCAAGCCAAGAGCCGTACAGATCGCCAGCGTGCTGCTCTGCGCAGACGGCCCAAATCAGACATCAGACAGTGACGCGAATGACCGCTCGAAATGCCAAAAGCATCATCCCATTCGGACACTTCATATATCTCCATACAGGACGGGCTTTGTGGCCCAGTGGTATCCGGGTGCACATCTCATAGTACCATGGGACTGGCTTGCTGCTCTGGATCCATCAGGGATGCATCTCTAAAGCTGGCGGCCCTTTATGCCAGGTGCTGACAATGGTCCTTGACGTATTCGATCAGGCGCGAACTCGAAGCGTGCGAGGCATTCAGAACACTCGTCTCTTCAGACCCAGACAGGTCGGTTGTACTCCAGCTGCTCCTGGGGTAGACGAGCAAAGGACTCGGTACTAGCCCCCTGGACGACGTTCGTAATATCTGTCGTTCTCTCCATGGATGTCGATGCAAAATCCTCCAGAAAGCCTGGTGCGGACCCGTTGCAAAGACAGGACCTCATCCTCGGACATCATTCGCCGTCATCATCGTCAGCGCCGTCCGCCTTCCAAGATCTTCGGTGGGCTTCAGTATCAGGATGTGGCATCGGCTGCTTGGGGTCCTTTGGTTCGTCTTCGGCCCGTATATTCTCTCCATTCCACTCCTCTAGCCTGTCACAATACCACCATATGTAGATTTGGAGGTCGGCCGAGACCTGATGGCTCATCTGGTAAAGCTCTTGACGTGCGAGAGAAATGTGATGCAAGTCCGAATCCTTGTCGGTG